TCTCTGTGTGTGTGTGTGTGTGTGTGTGTGTGTGTGTTTCAGAGCTCAGTATTTAAGAGTAAAAACAGGCATCGCAAGAAGAAGCAGAAGGAGTTAAAGGTGAGCGTGGTCAGTGCAGCGGCGCAGGATCCCGGCGTGCTTGATGCTCATCTGTGTGTCTGTGTGTTTCAGTCTGTTATTGTGCTGTCTGGAATGAGAGGTGGACATCCAAGGGATGAGGATGAGGAAGATGAGCTGTTCTCTGAGGAAGATGCTTTGTGAGTTCAGAGCCGTTGCGTGTCACATACGTGAAGCGGGTCAGTTTCAGTGACGTTGTGCGTGTGATGTTCCAGGATGTTCCTGAGCAGCATGGATCCGTTCAGCGTTCCCGAACACCTGCGAGGGCAGCTGGAGGAGTTTGAGGAGCAGTACGCCGGATCAGCACACCGGAGCCACTACCAGAGAATCCTGGACAATAACCCCGACCCCACTAAAGAGAGTTTATACGAGTACGTCTCACCTGTGCTTCTGCTCTCCGCATGATTGTGGCCAGTGTTGGGGCTAACACGAGATGCGTAATCAGATTACTTTTCAAGAAACTAGTAAAGTAATGCATTACTTTTTAATTTCCAAGAAAACATCTGAGTTGCTTTTTTGAATAAGTAACGGCAATTACTTTTTTTTCCCCCGTTTACTGCCTGACAGCTCTCCTGTGCTCATGTCGAGAGAAATCAGGAGTAAGTGCAGAGACGTTGTGTGTGAACATGATCTTACTGTAGTTCTACTGTAGTACACAAAAACAGATTCAGTATTCCTCAATGAATAAAAACAGTGAAATGCAAACTCAGAATGACGCAAACCTGTAATTAAATGTTAAAATACAAATACCCTTCATGTATTTAATCCCATTTTATAAACCTGCTGACCTTCAATGATCCGATTCAACAAAACTGAGCAAAAATGACTTTAGATAAACATAACGTTTTTGTTTGTTTGTTTGAGCGGTGCCCTCTACTGTACAGATGTGAATCAACATTTCCGTCAGCCTGCAGGCTCATTCATTTCACTGTTGGTATGAAAGAGCTTTTACATCTACCAAAAACAGAACTTTTTATATTTTATAAACAAACAAGCAAGCCTAGCCCAGGTGAGGGGGAAAAAAGTAATGTAATACATTACTTTCCATAAAAAGTAACGCAATTAATAACGTAATATTGTAATGCATTACTTTTAACTAGGGATGCACCGATACCACTTTTTCCAGTACTCGCCCGATACCGATACTTTTATTTTTGGTACTTGC